CTTATAATACCATGCTGAGAGAGGCTGGAATACTTCTTAAAATGATTTTTTTTCCCCAGGAAGACATATGTCTGGTGTGCTTTCTGAGTCCCTGAATGACAAAGAGTAAGTTTTTGCTGCCCTTGTGTGAGAACAATAACTTGGCAGAGAGAGCATTTTTGACACAACCTCCTCAAAACTCTACAGGGGCTGTTCCACTGTCTTCTGAAATTTGGTGTTGATGGATAAGTCTGATGCCAAATAGATTTTCCCACCTAGTACATATCTTCGTTATGGTCCCTAGGTGGCACAAGCGGTTTGCAATCAGCTGCTAACCTGAAGGTTGGTGGTTTGAACGCATCAGCAGTGCTGTGGAGGAAAGGCCTGATGATCTACTTCCATAAAGATTACAGCCAAGATAACTCTATGGAGCTGTTCTACTCTGTAATGTGGACTGGGGTCGCCATAAGTTGGAATTGACTCAACAACATCAGGTTTATGAACCTTGGTTGTTGGTTTGTTTGTTAGGCAGAGTGAGTCTAAGTTTTTTTTTTTAATCCTTGGAATAAAAAAGAAAAGGCGGGACATGACAAGCAGAGAGTCTATTTTATACTTCGGCCTGGTGCTCTGTGGGGTTTTGGACTGAATATAATTTTTCTAATTATCTTTTATTATTTATTTGGTCATTGCTTTTTCTTTGCCACAGAAACCCTGGTGGTGTAGTGATTAAGAGCTGTGGCTGCTAACCAAAAGGTTAACAGTTCATATCCACCAGGCGCCCCTTGGAAACTCTATGGGGAAGTTCTACTCTGTCCTATAGGGTCGCTATGAGTCAGAATCAACTTGATGGCAACGGGTTTGCATTTTTTTTTTTCCCTCTTTGCCTGGTATTTTCCATTTTTCTGGGATTCCTAGTCAATCTCCAGGACCTACCCTGCTTGCCTCTCATCTTTTCACTTCTTTTTTTTTTTTTTTTTTAACTTTTTATTGTGGTTTCTGTGAAAGTTTACAGAGCACATTAGTTTTGCAATCAACAATTTATACATGGCTTGTTTCGTGACATTGGTTGCAAACCCCTGAATGTGTCAGCACCCTCCCCTCTTCCTCCCTGGGTTCCCCGTGTAGATTTGCCCAGCTTTCCTGCCCCTACCATCCTTCTGAGCTTTGCTTTTGGGCAAATGCTGCCCTTTAGGTCTTGGATAGTTGCTTGTTCTGAGGTGTCCATTCCTCATTTATTCACTCTTGATTTTCACATATTGCCCTCTCCTGAGTTTCAGAATTTCCCTGGCAGGCCTGTTGGTCCGCTCGGCCTGTGTTTGGCATTGTCTGATTTGCTAGTCAGTACTTCTGTTGCAGTTTTGCTTTGGGTCATTATGGTTTCACTTCTGGATGAATTATGGTTTCATCTAAAAGTAGTCTTCCCTGCTCTCTGAGTTTTCCTTTTTCATGGTTGCAATCTCCTCTCAACTACTGTTGAGAAACTGAATTTAATATTTCCAAAATGCTGCCCTTTTTCCTACAGCAAGCTTTTTTTTTTTTTCATAACGGCATTCTTTTTATAGCTCCTGAGAGGTTTTATATATCCAGATAGGCTTCTCTCCTTGCTCATCCTTACAAAGGGTTTGTCCAGTTTTGGGGACTTGGGAGAGGTTCAGTTAGAAAGTGCTTGGGTTCATGTTCAATTCCTTTAGTCTGGGAACAAGAGGTCAAAGTTTATAATTTCTGGAGTTTTCTTTCTCTGGGTCAGAACTTCAGCTTTCTAGGAGAAGAAAAGGGAAGAACCCAGGGTGCTTGTATGACAACAGAACGACTTTTGTGCCAAAGTTTCCTGTCCTCTGAGCAGGGGCACCATCCCCTAAACGAATGGACAAGGTGGCTCTTGGTATGAGCTCGTGATGGCAATGCCCGCACACTTCTGATCCCATTGTTTGAAGCCAAGTGTTATCCAGGAGTGTCAACCATGAGGGACTGCTGGAACTGCTGGGTCAGACACGGCCAGGGCCACTTCATGGAGGTGCAACCCCTGCGCTCAGAAGGGCCCTGAACTTGGTTTAATGCTCTGCTGTCCTGTCTTGAAATTCTTAATCGTCTCTTTGTGTTATATGAGTAAAGTGCAATGGGATAATGGCACGTGTGTGTGGTGTGTGTGCATGTGTGTGTGAGTGTGCACATGGAGGAGTTTGAGCCTCTGCTCACACGGCTCACATCATTCCATCTTTCCTCCTGCTGCCCCCCGGGGCAGGTTCTTGGCTACTCACTGCATCCCCCAGCCAGGTGGTGACTGGACGGTGTAGATGGGGGGAGGCCTGTGTTTCTATGTCTCCTTCCACCCTGACAGGAGCCTGGGCACAGGCACAGGGAGGGCTGGGGTCATTGTGGAGGCAGCTGTCCCTTGCAGGGCTGGCAGCACTGGTATCTGGTGGGTGATAGAGGTGAGCCCCATGCCTGATCCAAGTACCTAGCATGTCCCAGTGCAGAGGTTTAGAGGCCCCTGGGAGTCACCTGTCTGCCACAGGTTGAGGCTCCCTGGGTAGAGGAGATGTTGGCTGGATCCCCAGAGCCTGTCTCTGCCACCCCCAGGGAGCGTAGACCTGGTGGCTGGTGGAGGAGGAGCCCAGAGGGTCTCAGGGTAGAAGCCCAAGTGTCTGCGAGGGTCCTCACTTGCCCTTGGTATCCCCTTGCCTGTGCCTTGCCCCTCCCTCTCTTCCTTCTTCCAACCTCCCTAGTCTAGCTTACCTTTGTTTCTGATCGGCACAAAGCACCCCCCAGGCACAAGCTACTGTAGACGAACTGTGTAATTTTGGGGATTCCACAGGAGTTAAATCTTTTTATGTTTCCATTTAAAACTAGCATTGCACAGTATAAAGATGAACATAAAATTCATGCTAATAATTAAAAATTTTTCTTATTTCTTTTAGAATGGCATTAAATAGCAAATGAAAAACACCACGATAAGTGGAGAGAGAGACTGCAGGAGAAAGGAAAAAAGCCTTATATTTTAGTACCTGTAATGGAGCCCTTCCCCTGCATTTTGAACAAGAGTCCTGCACTTGCACTTTGCACTGGGCCTGCCAATTACGTAGCTGGCCCTGGACAGTCAGTGGCCATCGCAGTCAACACCTGGAGATGGTGGATCTGACACCACTGTGTCCCCTGCTGGGTTCAGACACCCTTCCTTGTACCCCCCCCCCACATCCTTTTATCACATAATTTCCCCAGGTGTTTGCACAATTCAAGAAGACGATAATGAAAACAAACAAACAAAAAACCCGTGGCCGTCAATTCCAACTCATAGCGACCATATAGGACAGAGTAGAGCTGACTCATAGGATTTCGAAGCAGCAGCTGATGGATTTGAACTGCTGACCTTTTGGTTAGCAGACGAGCTCTTAACCACTGTGCCACTAGGGAGATAATGGGCCTCCTGACAACCCGGCATGTGGGTGCTGAAGTGATGAACTGGAAATGTAAGGAGTCGTAATCCTATTTCTACCCCATATTCATGACTCATTCATCTGAGTAACACACGTAAATCTCTCTTGTAGTGCCTGATGCCTGCTATGAAGCCAGCAAATGCTGGTTTCCCTTGTCTTGCCTTCTCAGTCTCTCTGGGTTTGCAACTCTGCCTCATGGCCTTCTTCATGTTTGGTTTTTAATTTTTTTAATTGTGGTAAAATACATATAACATTTGCCATTTTAACCATTTTTAAGTGCACAATTCAGCGACATTAATTACATTCACCGTGCTGTGTAACTCAGTATTTAGTTCCAAAGAGCATTCATTACCCCAGACAGAAACTCAGTGCCCCTTAAGCAATCAATCCTCGTTCCCTCTTCCTCCCAGCTTCTGGTAACCACTAATGGACTTCGGTCTGTATGCATTTGCCTATTCTAGATACTTCATATAAGTGAGGCCATACAATATTTGTCCTTCTGTTGCACAGTGGTTAAGAATTTGGCTGCTAACGAAAAAGGTCAGCAGTTCGAATCCACCAGCTGCTCCTTGGAAACCCTATGGGGCAGTTATACTCTGTCCTTTAGGGTCGCTATGAGTCGGAATCAACTCGATGGCACTGGGTTAACGGGTGTGACTTATTTCACCGAGCACGATGTTTTCGAGATCTATCCATGCCACAGCATGTATCAGAACTTCATTTTTCTTTATGGCCGGGTGGCACAAACAGTTTGCACTTGGCTGTTAATTTAAAGGTTGGCAGTTCAAACCCACCCAGTGGTGCCGTGGAAGAAAGGCCTGACAATCTGCCAAGAAAACCCTATAGAACAATTCTACTCTGCAACACATGGGGTTGCTATGAGTTGGAATCAACTCCATGGCAACTAGTATTTTTTGGTGTGAATATACCACATTTTGTTTATCCATTATCTGTTGATGGACACTTAGGTTGTTTCTCCCTTTTGACTACTGTGAATAGTGCTGCAATGAAGACTGGTACACACGTAACTATTTGAGCCTCTGTTTTTAATTCTTCTGCATAGATACCTAGGTGTGCTTCTTCGTGTTTTTAATTAAAAAAAAAATCTCCAGGACAGTCTTGCCACTCTTCAGGAACGGAAGGCAGGCTGGCCTGTCCCCTGAAGCCCTTCTGTGGAGCAGCTGCAGTGGCCACCAGGAGCTGAGCAGCCTGGCTACCTATCCTCTTTTGGCTTGCTCAGACAAAAAGCTAGCCAGAGAGGCCCCAAAGCGCCCATGCCTGACCTCCAGGGGGAAGGCAGTCTGATGGTCCTGTATACTCTCTGTGCGCCACTTTCTTCTTGCTCCCACCTGTGATTTTCAGGGCTCCTGGCAGCAGGAGACGAACTGAGGTTCAGAAGCATGAGTAGGAGAAACCCCGTGCCCCGTTTGCCTAGAACTGGAATGGCTGTGGACGCGCCTTTCTTGGCAGATTTTGCTGAGTAGGAAAATTTGCACCTGTTTTGAGTTGGCATCCCATTTAAAGAGAGAGCAAGGGGAAACACAAAGGCCAGCACATCCGAGAATGATTACTGCCAAAATTACTTACCAAAGATATCTGCAACGCTGTGATCCATTCGGGAGCGATGTGGAAATGAGCCCCAGCTGAGTCTCCCAGCAAAATGATTCCCCTGGGCTGTGAACCTAGGTGGACAATTTATTCACATTATTTATGCGCTCAAGTTGTCTGGAGCCTCCAGGCTGGCTAGTTATGAGAGCAGATACCCCGGTGTGCATTGCAAACTCAGAACATCCTAACAGTGATGCATAGCTGCTGTTTGTGTGCTGGAGAGTGAGGGGCATAGCATTTAGGAGCTGGATGAGATTTCTAGGCCATCAGAACTGCTGGCTAAGCTCTGCAGATGCAGATGTGTGTCCCAGCTCAGCACAAAACAAACTGCCGTACAGCATCCTGAGTGAATGATGGATGAATAAGTGAATCGAAATTCCATCTGAACTCAGAAATATGCCCTATGTTTCGGTTCTGGAAATTGTTTTCTTGGAAAACACACCCATTTCTGTTTCAATTCACCTTAAGACTTGATCTCATGGAGCAATTTTTTTTTTAAAATTTTTTTAATGTACTTTAGATGAAGGTTTACAGAACAAATAGTTTCTCATTAAACAATCGATACACATATTGTTTTATGACATTGGTTAACAACCCCACAACATGTCAATACTCTCCCTTCTCGACCTTGAGGACCTTTTTTTGGTGAAAATATACATAGCCAAAGTTACACCATTTTGAAAGTTTCTGCATGTACAATTCAGTGACATCAATTACATTCTTCCAGTTGTGCTGCTATTCTCACTATCCTTTTCCAAATTATTCCATCACCATTATCTTCAACTCACTGTCCCCAGGCTTCCCATCAAACCTTTTAAATTGCTGTTGTCAATTTGCTCTTACATAGATAATTCTTTTTTTTTTTTTTTAACCTTAGATGAAGGTTTGCAGAACAAATAGTTTTTCATTAAACAGTTAGTACACATATTGCCCTATGACAATGGTTAACAACCCCATGACCTGTTAACGCTGTCCCTTCTCAACCTTGGGTTCCCTATCACCAGTTTTCCTGTCCCCTCCTGCCTTCTAGTCCTTGTCCCTGGACTGCTGTGCCTCATTAGTCCTGTTTTGTTTTATGATGCTGTCCAATCCCCCGCTGAACGGTGAACTTCGGCAGGCTTCACCACTGAGCTAAAAGGGTGTCCGGGGGCCATACTCTCGGGGTTTCAGGAAGCAATTTTTATTTTTCAGAGACGTTATCGTCTTTTAAAGTCATTAATCCATATATGTAAAAGCAATGGATGGACGATTCAGCTGATTAATGGGAGATAGAAATATCAAGGTTTCCATGCAGCCCTGTATGTATGTATGTTTAATCTGTTTCTGAGGCCCAGCTACACAAATCACTTACCTACAGAGATACTCTTCCCAATCGCTTAAGATTCTGGAAGAATCTATCAATACTTCCAAGAGTCAGAGAGGGGATCCTCTTTCTCTGTCTCCAACTCCCCCACCCCAAGTCATGCTGGAGGGTCACCCAGCCTCACTACAGTAGCTCCCTATCCTGGGCCCCATGGCAGCCAGCACTAGGCCACATAAAATAGGGACTGGGAAGGCCTTGGACATCCAGGAGGGCACAATGGGCCAGGATGAAGGGGAATCTAAGACGCTTCCCACAGTGACCCCAGAACCTCACATCAGCGTTTCACCTAGATCCGGATTCATTTGTTCATTCATTCCTCCAACAAGTATTTCTCAACTGCATAAATATGTTTGATTCTTTACAGTTTCTATCCCCCCTTCGTGCCCCTCTAAGAACTTAAAGACAATTAGACTTTAAGTTTATTGAGGGTCATGACTGTATCTTTTTTGCCCATGAAAACTCAGTGGCAAGGAGAGCCCTAGGCACACAGTAGGAATAGGTATCCAGGAAATACCTGTTGAGTGAATGAATGAAATGTTTCCAAATGTTAGAGAAAGGCATTGCCTAAACATAAAATACCTATGGTATGCTGTTACCTTAGGGTCTTGTTTAAGACTTTGGGCATTACTGGAGTGTGTTTTCAGTAATGTGTGGATAGTGGTAGGTTTCTTCTAACAGTACTGGTGGCCTAGATGTCTGTGGCATTTGGGCGTTTAAGTACAAAGCTCTTTCCATAGTTATTTCACCCCAGTGGTTATGGCTTGGAGATCTCCCTCAAGTCACTCAGACATGCATCTTTAGCAGAGTTGACATAGGACCCATTGGTACAAGCCCAGGGGGTCTGATCTTCTAGTGTATTGAGAAGGAAATTAAAATTCCAGATTAAAAATTTCAGTTATCGCCTCTACTCGCTTTCTTATTTGGAGAAGTGCTGGATTTCTGTTACCCTGTTATCCATCCTGCAGCCTTTCCTAACGCAATCATTAAAATTTCCAATCCCCAAATAAAAGTCAATTAAACAAATTCAGTTTTGCTTTTTCTAGATTCTGCCTCCCTTTCCTACGTCTTTTTCAGGTCTTTCTTTGATCTGTCACAAAAATAAATGTAAACTGGTCAATTTAAAGAAAGTTCTAGCATCAGGCACTTCCTCACTTGGGCAGCCTGTCCACTTCAATTTGAATCCCACTAGGAAGGAATATTCATTCTATGGTAATAAGCACGCTGACTCTTACAAGTCATACCTTCACAGAATTTCTTCTCATATGGAATTCCATCTTTTGGATCAATACCCTTTAAAAGAGAAATGATGAGATTAACAGTTTGTTTTTTAAATTTATGAGACACAATGAATTTTTCCCAAATGGCTTTAAAAGGGTAAAAGCTAATCAGTAGGTAAAACACTTTGAAGTCTCTTGAACCCCTAATTTAACATAGTAACACTCCATGCTAGTGAGGTGGACGTGAAAGGAACTGAACAGGAATAAGGAGAGATCTAGAAACTGGGCCGCCTCTTTCGGAGAGTGCAGGGCAGGGAATGAGTGCTGGGAGAGATGCCCAGGTCGGGACTCTCACTGGTCAGAGCACTGAGGACCGTGACACAAGGTCCTGACGCCTTCACTATCTAAGGATTGATGTTTTTAGAGCAGTGATTCTCTACCAGGGGTGATTTTGCCCTCCACCCCCAGTCCAGGGGACATTTTGGTTGTCATGACTGGGAGGAGAGGGTGGGTAGTGGGTAGATGCCAGGGACGCTGCTAAACATCCTACAATTCATAAGAAAGCCCCGCATCCCCACGACAAATATCTGACTCAAAATGTCAACGGTGCTGAGTTTGAGAAGCCCGGAAGCATGTTGGGCCTGTGAGTGGGACTAAGTTACTACAGCTGAGGGGACTTCTTAGCACCTAAAGCTAAGGCAATCCATTAGTGGAGCGGGACAGCTCCCTAGAGTTTGAATAGTGTTAAGGGAAAGCTTGAAAATCTTATTTTTGTTGTTGTTGTTTGCCAAACTGTGGTCTAGAGAGCACTGAGATATGGATAGTGTTAATGCTAATAATAGATGTTAATAATATAACACATGAATACTTATTAATAAATATAAGGAAATTAATAGCAATAATAAGATAATTGTAATAATAGATATAAATAGTATTTTAAGACAAAAGTGCTTAATAGAGACATGTTGGAAACACTGTATTCACTTTCCTGGTCTTGGGGACTCTCAAAGCAAAACAAAAGCAAAACAAATCCATTGCCGTTGGTCGATTCCAACTCATAGCAACCCTATAGGACAGAGTAGAACAGCCCCATAGGGTTTCCAAGGAGTGGCTGGTGGATTTGAACTGCCGACCTTTTGGTTAGCAGTCAAGCTCTTCACCACTGCGCCACCAGGGCTCCCAGTGCCCATTAAAACATTAAAGATGCCAAGAAATCTGAAAGTACAGAAAGCTGTTTAACTTAATTTGACCTAGTACTTACTTGGCTATGGAACCTCCTCCCTCTCATACCTATTAACATCACACTCAACACTGAGGTTCTGTGGACACTGTTGGGAAATATTAGACTAGATATTTATAAAGTCCCTTCTGAGGTTATGAGTCGTGAGTCATCTCCTTCGGTGGAAAGGGGTAGGTGTGAAAGTGTCTCTCCCATTACTGATGATACGCTCTGCATCTCACATCCCTGAGCTGATGGTGGATCTCTATTGGTCTAGCACAGTCTCTTCTTGGCTCTTCCCGTGCGAGGTGGCATGCCAGGTCTGGGGCAGGGGTGAGACCACGGAACAAAGACAGCAGCCTCAAACACTTATCAAGCCCTCTTTGCCCTCCCACATGACAACTAAGCTTAGGTTTGTCAGAACAGGAGTTGCCTTGGGGGTCCGGACACTTGCAGCTCTAGAGGAGATGTCATCTCCTCCTCTGGAAAGGCAGCATCACTGAGGATACGGTGGGTGGTGCAGGGTGGGGAGTAGTCTGTCATGCTCTCCATATCCCAGAGGCCCTGGGGCATGAATGCACTCTGTAAGTGGCAGCTGGAGCAAGCCTGGTGCACCACTGTCCTGGAGAGAGGGAAATATTTATGAAAATTTCCCTCTCTTCATTAAAGAGAACAAATGAGGCAACTGTTCAGAGGCAGTTCACCTTGAAGTTGTAGAATTTTAAGCTTCAGAGACCCTCATTTGCATAACCCCCAGCCCATGTGAGTGCTGGGAGTGGCTGGGAGCTATAGAGTGTTCTAGGTGGGAGAGGAAGCCAGATGGCTGTCAGGACATGTTTCTATGTAAGCATTTCTGGTAAAGTGGTAAAGAGATTGCAAAAGAAAGGGGCCTGAATATCTGAGATTCCAGTAATTTGTTGGGATTTCTTTTATTATTCTAAACAATCATTTACTTTCATGCCGGATTTTGTGTTTGTAATCTGGTATTCTTTTTCTTCATAACCCATTAACCCATTGCCGGCGAGTCAATTCCGACTCATAGTGACCCTAGAGGACAGAGGAGAGCTCCCCCATAGGGTTTCTGAGGAGCAGCTGGTGGATTTGAACTGCCGACCTTTTGGTTAGCAGCTATATCACTTACCCACTGCACTACCATGGCTCCGTTTTCTTCACAAAGACCTCTCAAATCATATAAGCTTAAGACCCCACAAAACTTGGATCTGTCACCTTTGCTGTCCACAGATAAGTGTTTAGTAGGCTTTTCTCCTTTCTTCCTTTTTCTCTACTTGGAAGCTGCAAATCCATTATTCATAGGGAACTGGGACATCAGCAGTAAAGCCGTGCAGTGCAGGTAGTAAGATGACTATAGGGTGATTTCCTCTCTGCCTGTCTAGGCTTATGAAATAGAAAAATGGCTGCAATAAGATGATGACAGCAGGTGATTTACTCCAACAGTTGTTCCGGTTGCTGTAAAAGTTTGCTAACACCATTCCTCATTTAATTTCACTCTATTCAAAACAGAATAAAGGAATTAGACATGGGTGACCTTAAACAAGGTTTAAAGGGGCCTCAAACTCTCATTACATTGTTGGTATTCTTCCTGTGTACTCTCTTGCAAACAGCAGAAAAGAGCTGCTTGAGGCTGCCATTTTCTTCCTTAGGTCTGACTAAAGCCAATAGGCAATCGGCTTTTGGGGCGAGTGGAAAGAGAACAGGGTTACATCTGAATTTAGTTGCTTACCCAAATGCCATTACAGTTTGAATCCTGATGTGCATCCCAGTTGTCTGGCCTAAGAAGAAAACATTGACGTTGGTCTTTGGCATACATTTGTCACTCAGTGAATGTTAGTTTCATGAATAAATGAATGAATGAATGCATGAATGAGTGAGTGCTACACGAAGTGTCATTGAGAGACAATGGTGTCCTTTTTTTGTGCATCGTGGCATACAGAGGACTTCACTTAACGCTCTTTGATATCAATCTTGGTTTTGGATATTTGCTGGGAACCCCGAACCAAATCCAGTCTTTTCCATGATTGACCCTATTCCTGAACTATACTGTTGTGGAATGGTGCTGACAAACATAATGAACACAGCTGCAGTCTATTTTATTTAAATAGATGAAGCTGTTAAAGTTGGGCCTCTAAAATGCCCGAACATCTGGTTAATTTAATGCTTCGGCACTGTAGTCACAGCCTAGGTGAAGGTCGGCACATCCACTTTTTGAAGCCGGATACGTGACTGGCTGAACGCCAGCCAGGACTAAAACATGTCACGCTCTCCCTTCACTGAGCCATCTCCTTACTCCTGGTGGAGGAGGCCAGTATTTCTGGGCCCAATCCTGTGTGTAGAACTAGTGCAGGACAATGAATACACGAACGCAGCTCTTTTTTCACGGAGCTTTACTTTAGTCGGGACGTAGAGGTTCCCTCTCTCTGTAAATGAGAATACCTTAGGCTAGGGGAAGAAATTACACCTCCTGCCTTCTTTTTAGAAGGTGATTTCAAACCCAGAGAGCCGGCGGAGTAAGTTACCTTCTGCCCGGGTACGCCGTCTTGCTGTGGTCATTGCAGTCTCGCCCTCGCCAGTGATAGCCCCGAAGTGTCTGAAAGTGAAGACATACGCGGAGGAACACAGGTCAGCTTTGATGCATCCACAATGAAGGACCATCACAGCTGCCTGAGTCGTATTGACATCTGCGGTTTTTAATTCAAATACAGTCAAGGAACGCTAAAGATCACTAAGAAAATTAAGATTAAGATGGTAGGGCAGGCTGTCTGAGGGGAAATGTAACATAGTACCAGGGTCTAATAACAGGAGGTAGCGTGTGCGTATATGTAGAATGTGCGAGCATGTGTGTGTGTGTGTGTGTGTGTGTGTGTGTGACGTCGGGTGTGTGCCTGTATGTAAGTGTACATGCATGTACACACACGTGTATGCACGTATGTAACATGCATGTCACACACGTGAGCTCATGTGTGTATGCATGTGTGCGTGTGTGCACAGGGCTGTTTGTGTGTATGCGTGTATTCATGTGTGCATCTATGTGCACATCCACAAACAGCAGGACTACTCGACTCCCTAAAATTCCACTATTACTTGTCAATCCTCTCAGGCTCTGAAACAACTGGGTTATTTGGGCAAATGATTAATCATTTTATTGGATGATTTATAAATCCCCAGTCAAACTGGTTAATTATGTGAATTTACAGTATATGTTTGACCTAACCGATTTGAAAGAAGTAAGAGTCAAGATAGTCAAACAAGGTTTTTAGTTCCTCCATTTGCAGGTAGAATATATGAGAGAACCCAAACTTTTCAGGAGTTTGTGACATGTTATTTGCTTATTTGCATTCATGGAGAACACACTGACATTTAATTGCTCTAAATCACACACACACACACACACACACATACACACACACACGAACACACTTTAAAAAAGTAAGTTAAAGTAGGCTTGGGTTTAAGAATTTCCAAAATAATTCACAAGACCATTCGAGTTAACTGTAGTCCCTATGGAGAATTCCAGCTGGGAATGGGTCAGGAAACAAAACAGTCTAGGCCTAAGATTCGCCTTGATGCTTCCTGTATTATTATAATGCCAAAAAGTTCTTAAATGTCCTAAAATGGTGTATTGTTCATACACCACTGTTAACACAGTTAAATGAAATACAATCTTTTCTTATTAAAGGAAATAAATTTGTAGGAAGCTAGGCAATATTTAGTGAATAACTATCTATTTTTAACGATACTTACCGGGAAAACACTGTATTTGTCTGAGTCTGAATCTTTGAATGGCACAGATTTTTTTATAGCTCTAAAAAAAAAAAAAAAAAAGAAAGAAAACAAACACTTAGTGAGCTAAGGGGAAAAAAAAAGAAAGAAACCATGTTTGTGAGAACAAATGGAGACATTTTCAGATATGGCTGTTTGGAGTTGATGTGACAGATGCCCATTCTAAAGATAAAACAAAGGGCCTGCGTGGTCTGTAAGAGCCGCAGCCAAACCTTGCCAATCCCTGCTCTTCATCTAGGCAAGCTGTTTTCCCTCTGACTTGGTCCGTACGGGGAGGTGACATAACTGTATTGAAGTTATAGAGGCCATGGAATATTGAAGTTGAGATTCCCAGGAAATAAGGAGACTGTATGTTTTGTTTAGTCAATGAACTCAGTACTGCAAGTTGAAATTTGAACTGCTTTACACATTCTGTCATGGAAATCGTTTCTTAAAATTTTACTATTTTGAACCATGTATTCTGAAAATCATGACAAATGGCGAAAAGATTGAAGTCGTCAAGGATTTCATTTTACTTGGATCCACAATCAACACCCATGGAAGCAGCAGTCAAGAAATCAAACAATGCATTGCACTGGGCGAATCTGCTGCAAAAGATCTCTTTCAAGTATTGAAAAGCAAAGATGTCACTTTGAAGACTAAGGTGCGCCTGACTCAAGCCACAGGTATTTTCAATCGCCTCATATGCATGCGAAAGCTGCACAGTGAATAAGGAAGACCGAAGAAGAACAGATGCCTTTGAATTATGGTGTTGGCAAAGAATACTGAATATACAATGGACTTCCAGAAGAACGAACAAATTTGTCTTGGAAGAAGTACAGCCAGAATGCTCCTTAGAAGTGAGGGTGGTGAGGCTTTGTCTCATGTGCTTTGGGCACGCTATCAAGAGGGACCAGTCTCTGGAGAAGGACATCATGCTTAGTAAAGTAGAGGGTCAGCGAAAAAAAGGAAGACCCTCTATGAGATGGATTGATCCAGTGGCTGCAACAATGGGCTCAAACATAGCAATGATTGTGAGGATGGTGCAGGACTGGACAGCGTTTTGATCTGTATTGCATAGGGTTGTTATGAGTTGGAACCCACTCAATGGCACCTAAGAACAACAACAGTTCTGAGAATCTTGACTTGTCATTAGCTAGCAAACTTCACACCTAATCATGAGCCTGGGAAACCAAGGACCCTGATGTGATGACCAAGCAAATTCTTACCTGTGATGGTTAATTTTATGTGTCAACTTGGCTAGGCTATGGTTCCTAGCTTTTTGACCAAACACTAGTCTAGTTGCTGTCATGGAGTAGCTACACGTAATTAAATCAGACGGCCTTGGGAAGTGCAGTTTACCTTTTGTAATGTAACGTAATGACCTTATATCTACCGTAATGTAATGCAATCTTCCATAGTGTAATCTAGTATAACGTAACCACTGTCCATAATGTAATCTAGTATAATATAATCATCTCCCATAGTACAATGTAATGTCATCAATCGATCAGTTGCGCTCATATCAGTATAGGGTATATCCTAAACCTGATTGCTTCCGAGACCAAAATAGACACAGGCACATACACACACATTTTACTAAATGTTGTTTTAAATCAAGAGCTTCACCACAGTTCTGAGTGCCTTAGGCAAATGAATACAGCCAGAGCCAGTGTGAAGCCTAACGGGCGGCATGGAGCCCACCTTAGGGATGTGGGATGGTGAACACACCAAAAGTCCAGGTTATAGACCTCTTTGGAAAAACACTAAAGGGGACTATACAAGTTATATTAGCCTCCTATGGTAGGACCCTATATTCTGCTCTGTAATTCTGGGGCTGGGAATTTTGCAAAATACTCTGATTAGATTCCAGCCAGAATGCTCATTGGAAGCAAGGATGGTGAGACTTTGTCTTGCATACTTTGGACATGTTATCAGGAGGGACTAGTCCCTGGAGAAGGACATCATGCTCGGCAAGTAGAGGATCAGCGAAAAAGAGGAAGATCCTGAACGAGATGGATTGACACAGTGGCTGCAACAATGGGCTCAAACATAGCAACAACGGTGAGGAAGGTGCAGGTCTGGGCAGTGTTTCCTTCTGTCATACATAAGGTTGCTATGAGTCAGGACCGACTCGATGGCACCTAACAATTACAATAGATTCCAAAGGACGAGAAATCATTTAACATAAATTGTTAAGGTCCCTGGGTGGCGCAAACAGTTTGTGCTTGACTACTAACCTAAAAGTTGGCCATTTGAACCCACCCAATGGCACCATGGAAGACAGGCCTAGAGATCAGCTTCCATAAAGATTACTGCCAAGAAAACCTTATGGAGCAGTTCTACTCTGTAACACATGGAGTTGCCATGAGTCAGAACTGACTCAATGTTAATGGATTTTGTTGGTTTGTTTTTTATTTTTGTGACTTTTAAGAAAAGTTTTCGGAAAAGAGTTTAAAGATGCTATGTCCCATGAGACTAGGCAGTGTTCTCCGAAGTATGTATTTGACCTCTTAGTCAACTATTTTATTTTTCTGGCTGAGAAAAGGAAGGTGGTGTGGGGGAAGGGAAGAACAGGGAGAGAGATGGCATGGACTGAAACGGTCATATTTTCAGTCCAGGAAAGGGTGCTGGGTGAAAGTCTCATTTTAGTATGTCAAAGCTATCCCCACCGACCTTTGCGATCTTGCGAGTAAGTTTGTCCTTGAAGGAACAATAAATTATCTCTAAAACTTGACAGTTAGTTCACTGAATTAACCTTCTTCCACTTATTTTAAGCGCTCAAACCAACTGACCAAAACCATAAATTCTAGACATGAGAGGGAAGATTGATCAGCCAAAGTATCATAAATTGCAGCTTTATAAAGTCCACTATCCCTTATTCACCATCCCCAAATCCAAACAACTCTGAAAACCAAGAGCTGTTTTTCTCCCCAGTTTTGCAGAAAATTCAATTGGTGGCAAAACCTGACCTGAGCTGATGTAGGGCAATTCATAAGCTATATCCTAGTTCTTATGAAAATCCACACATTTCACTGTTGAAATATAAATGAGTTTGATTGGGAGGTGCTAGCCCAAGCCCTTCTGGGGGTGTTAGGTGAGTTATGGCGTATACAATTACGTTTATCTTCCTAAGATCTGAAAAATTCTGAATTCCAAATCACATCTGGCTCCAATGTTTCAGAGAAGTCGTTGTTGACTTTTACTAATATAACTTACTCAGAATTGTGTCTGATACCTTGTGTAGCCTTAGCAGCATCTGAGTCTGATTTTATGCTGAAATACTCATTCATTCATCTATTTGTTTGTTTCTCAGGCATTTTTGGAGTGCCTGCTCTGTGCCAGGCATCACGTTAGATACGAGGGAAGAAGATAGGATCCCTTCCCTGCGCTTGAGGAGTTTAATGATGAGTGGGGAAAAATGATGCATCAACAGACAACCACAGTATCATGGATTGTGCACCAAGTGGGAAAATATTTCTATCTATATGGGGCGGGGGAGATGAACTTAAAGTGAAACCTAAAGGATGAGAAAGAATTTTCAAGACAAGGAATTGGGTGAAGGGCATCCTAAAACCAAAAAACCAAAAAATAAAAACAGACAAACAAACCCGTTGCCGTTGAGTCGATTCCGACTCATAGTGACCCTATAGGACAGAGTAGGGCATCCTAGTAGGAAGGAAAAGCCCGTGGGAAGCCCCATAATATAGCTCTGGGTTCTGAAATTATACTCTCTGGGTTTGAATCTCAAGGTGGCTATCTACTAGCTCTGTAACCGAAGGAAAATAATTTTATCTTTCTGTGCCTCCGTTTTCTCATTTGAAAAATGAGGTCAATCTTAGTCCATACTTCCTAGGGCTGTTGGAAAGACTAAATGAATTGATACATGTAAAGTATGAAGAACTGTGGCAAGCATAGAGTACTAAAAAGTAAACATTAGCTATTATTGTTATCTGGAAACCCTGGTGGTGTAGTGGTTGAGAGCTATGGCTGCTAACCAAAAGGTTGGTGGTTTGACTCCACCAGGCGCTCCTTAGAAACTCTATGGGGCAGTTCTACTTTGTCCTAAAGGGTCACTAGGAGTTGGAACCGACTCGATGGCAGGGGGTTTGGTTTGGATTATTGTTATTGGAGTCCCTTGGTGGTACAAATGCTTAATATGCTTGGCTACTAACTGAAAGGTTGATGGTTTGAGTTTACCCAGGGGTGCCTCAGAATAAAGGCCTGGTGATCTACTTCTGAAAAATCAGCCATTGGAAACCTATGGAGCACAGTTCTACTTTGACACACATGGGGCAGCCATGAGTTGGAGTTGTCTTGATGACAACTGATTATTATTATTATTGTGTGCAGTGAGAACAATTATCCCAACGGTGGTTCCTAGAATTGGGCAACAGGAGTCAGGTGTCTACTTTGATGACATTTTCAGATGTTAGTTTCTGGATACATCCAAAATTCATCCTATGGACCCTCTTTAGACTTTCAGATTTCCAGCTCACAATGTTCGATCCAATTATTGTACGGCTGTTGCAACTAATCCCCATCTCACTACTACTTCTGTATTACTGACTGTCGCCAGATGTCAGATGAGGAGGCTTGATCCAGTGAGTACTTATGACAGCAGCTAAATGTTATTTATTACATAATATTGAGTTGTTCAAGTTCAATTCCCTTAAAATTATTTCATGAAACCAGAGCATTATGATAAAAGAAAAAAAGATGAGGATAAAGCTTCCATGTGTCTCTGCCTCGTATTGGAGACCCAGGCAGCACTTGAGAGCTGGGAACAGACTTGTTGCGTTTGCACATAGATGTGTTTATACATCTCTGTAAGACGATATGAGGACAGAGAACACCATGGAAGGATATACTCCAGCATGTTGACATGCTCACCTTGGTGGTGGGGGCATGGACAATGTGGGTGGACGGAGGAGGGCATGGGGAAGGAAGGCAAGCAAAAAAGGACAAGAATACCATTCAGCCAGGGACTGGACAGCACCATAAAACAAAACGGGACTAATGAGGCACAGCAGTCCAGGCACAAGGACTAGAAGGCAGAAGGGGACAGGAAAGCTGGTGATAGGGAACCCAAGGTTGAGTTAGGACAGTGTTGATGTGTAGTGGGGTTGTTAACCATTGTCATAGGGCAACATGTGTACTAAATATTTAATGAGAAACTATTTTGTTCTGTAAACCTTCATCTAAAGTGAGAATAGCAGCACAACTGGAAGAGCATAGTCGATGTCACTGAACTGTGCATGTAGAAATTTTTGAAATGGTTTATCTTTGGCTATGTATATTTTCACCAAAAAATAAAAAAAAAAAGGTCAAGAAGGGAGAGAGGGTTGACATGTTGTGGGGTTGTTAACCAATGTCATAAAACAATAGGTATACTACTGTTTAATGGGAAACTATTTGTTTTGTAAACCTTCACCTGAAGTACAATTAAAAAAAAAACTCAAAAAAACCCCCAAAAAGTCAAAAAAAAAAAAAAAAAAGTAAAAGGATAAGAAAATAATGATGAAGTAAAAGCACAAATAACATATGATAGTTTGATAGTCTGCCACCACCCGTCTGTCAGGTTGTCATACTGGCGGCTTGAGTGTGGCTGTGATGCCAGGAGCTATGCCACTGGTATTTCAAATACCAGGAGGGTCACCTATGGTGGACAAGTTTCAGAGGGGCTTCCAGACTAAGTCTAGGAAGAAAGGCCTGGTGATCTACTTCAGAAAATTTGCCAAAGAAAACCTTGTGTGTCACAACAGAATATTTTTTGATATAGTGTCAGAAGATGAGTCTCCCAGATTGGAAGACACTCAAAATACACAGTAGCCTCAACAGTGGACACGGGTATGCCGACAATTGTGATGATTGTCAGCACTGGGCAACGTTTCATTCAGTTGTACATGGGGTTGGCGTGGATCACAGCCTACCCGATGGCAACTAACAACAACAACATGATAGTCTGTACGTGTTTATGTGAAAGAGATCTATGTGGGTTTTTGTACGTAGAAATTAAATAAAAAGAATGGCTTATTAAAAGAGTGGACACTTCTGACTTACCACAGTTACAATAAAACATACACAGTATGTAGACACTGTGAATTCTGATCAAAACCAAACCAAACCCAACCAAAAAAGCTTGACTGCTCTATCACAGTAGCCTGGTATCTTACACTTTCTTCTTTCCTGCTTGTGTAGTACATTTCTTTGCTATTGCCCTTGTTTTCTTCATTGAGTTCCTACTAATGCTAAGCACCGTGGTAGGTGCCAGGGAAAAAATTTCAGCAAGGAATGGTATCCCTTCTCTCCAGAAGCTTAGAGTTGCTGTGGGAGACTGACAGGGTACAGCAATGGAAGAAGAGGGTGATGAGGAGCAGGAGCAGGTGATCTAGGAGGACCGAGGAGCCTAGCCAAGTGCCTGAAGTTAGTCTGGGACACTTCCCAGGAGTGGGGACACCTCAAATGAATTTTGATGGTGTCAAACCAAATGAGATGGGAGGCAGGGGGGAGGGACAGGGAAGAGGGTACTCCTCATAGAGGGCTTTTTATCATAGGATTATGCAACAAAAGACACGGGGTCTTGTCTCTACCACCGGCTGGCTGTGTGCTAACGGGTCAAGCATTAAGGTGCTAGAACCTACCTGCTCATCTCAAAAGTGGGACTAGGAGTTGAGGGGCAGTCAATGTAGCGGCTATGAGTCTGGCCTTTGGAACTTGCCGCCGGGTTCAAATGCCAGATTTACCCATTACTTCCTCTGTGTCCTTGGGAAAATTACCTTACTTCTTTAGAAAGAGCATAATAATGGTGCCTGTCTTATAAGGTTGTTAAGATAAAGTAATTAATAATAATAATAATAAAACAGTTCTAGTTATCATTTTTGTTACTGAGTCACAGGTTGTTTTGAAGAATAAATGAGGCTGCATTTGAACGTGATTTGTAAACCATAAAGCACTGAACGAAGTGTAACCTGGTGCAAATTATACTCAGAGCACGATGATTTTTAGAAAGAAGAACAGCACACTGCTTTTGCTTTTTTGTGAAAGACTAATTTCTATTTTAAATTGGGCCAGGAAAATCCCTGGCCACAGGTGCTCCTGAATTCAATTTTTCAAAGGTGGTTCTATTGGAGGGTTGTCACTTTGGCTTTGTTAGGTTATTCTGGACCATGACTGACACAGCAAATGCAATGATGCTTTCAGTAAGGAGGCGGAGGGTGGCCACTATGCCTTCACAGGGGACAGGGGTCTCAATTCAGTGGGAGCTAGGCATGACAGAATAAGGGCTGGAGAGCTGGCTGCACTTTAGCCTCCCAGCACCTCCTTCCTGTGTGATGTTTCCACTCCACTCCCCAAGTCCTGATGTCCTTTGGTTCCCATCTCCACTCATGAAAAAGGGGTGTTTCTTCTGGGACTCAGGCCAGTACGTTGCATAGCTGGCTTGCAGGGCCTGATGCAAGCAGATGAACCAGGGAAAGTTTTAATCTCCTGGATCCTATAGAGGCTCTGAACATGGATCAGAATCATAGCCTCCTCCTTCTCCCCACAGACATTTTCAAAACAGACTGGAGAAGTTCAATGGATTCAAGCACCCATGAAGCTCATGAGATGAACGATGGAGTAATTTGAGAGAGGCGTCTCTCAGCCCAGATATGCAGCCTGATTCCCACCTCTGAGCCTTCTTCTGTCTAACCCCCACCGTGAGAGTGAGGCTGGACTAGAGTGGGCTGAAGTAATAGGAGCTGCCTGCGGGGGAGCAAGAGTGAAAGATACAAGGGTCAGCACAGCTGATGTGGCCTAAATGAATGTCTCACAGCTAAAGAGCACTGAAGCATCACCTGTACATGTGGCGTCCATTGTTTGGCCCCTAACAGGAAGGTGAGTACTGTGGAGAGCCTAGACAATCAGAAGTCCAGGTATGGAGTCCAATGGCATAAGAAGTTTCTGGAAAATGTGGCACTCTGCCACCAGGTATGGGCTGAGGAATCTGCATTTTAAAAATGTCCCAGAAGGTTCTAATATGTGGCCAGAATTTAGTCAATATCTTCATTTTAGATATAGGGACACTGAGCCTCAGAGGCATTAAGTGGCTCAAGTTCTTAAAGTCTGCTCAGGAGGCAGCATTTCAGAGAAGTCAAAAATATGGATGTTCCCAAAGAACATGTGGAGTCAAATAGACTGGGGGCGTATCTGGGGTCCTTGGTGGCCTTGGGTAAGTTACTTCTCTAAGACTCAATTTCTTTCTTTGTGAAATGGAAATAATTATCCCCACCTCACGGAGTTGTGAGGCAATGAATGGGAAGGTTGGCATCTTGCACATAGTACAGTCTCAATATTTTACCTGGTTGCAGTACTAGCAGCAATCATATTGGAAGTAACTCAGTGGAAAATATGGAGTCACTGGGTGGTGCAAACAGTTGAGTGCTCGTTTACCAACAGAAAGGTTGGGGGTTCAAATCCACCCAGATGCACTTCAGAAGAAAGGCCTAGCGATCTACTTCAGAAGGATCAGCCATGGGAAACCCTATGGAGAACAGTTCTACTCTGAAACACATTAGGTCACTGTTGGTCAGAATTGACTAGATGGCAACTAGTTTGATGTTTTGTTTTTTTTCCCCAGTAGAAGGTAGAACCTGAACTATTTTGCTTTTTAGTCCAGTGCCCCTCTCAGGACACTGTTCCACTCCTTAAAGTTTTGAACAGCAATTGTTATCACATTTAGCAGAGCCCCAGACTCAATACGGAGCTGGAATACGGGATTTTAAACTGAGACAGAAGAGCTGGGAATTCTTGACAGTGTCTCTGTATTGGAAACTCTGCTCATGTATGTCTGACCGGATCAGTGACAAGACGATCCCTTTCCAGCTTCATGAGTGCCTTGCACCAAAGTTGGTCAAAGAGTCCATGCCATGACCAGTTTTTGACCTTGTCTGTATCTTAAATGAAAAGGAAGGGCTGTTTCTGGGTCTGCTCAGATGAGTGCCCACATCCTGCTAAGGATGTATCATGGCATTCTACATTCTAGCTTGGGACATAAATCAGACTTTGAGGTTCAAAGATACTGGTATTCAATATATTTGCAAAGTGATTTGGTCAGAGATAATTTCTCTTCTAGCTTCTGTACAAGCTATGTTTTGAGCAAGAAATAGTTTTACCTTCAGGAAGATACCTTTTAAATTTGAAGATCATGTTAGTTAGTCATTAGAAAACAGTAAGCACCAAAGATACTATCACATGCTTCACTCAGGAAGGTAGAAATAGCATACATACGATTTAATTTCCTGGCAGATCTTGGCCAAAAACGGAAGTGAACAAATACTGGAATTACTTCTAGGATATTTCTGGAGAGAAAGAGAGAGAGAGAGAAAAGATAACAGTTGATTAGTTCAAGGAATGTTTCCCCAACTTCTAGGGGTCCTTTCTCTTCTGTTGGCACTGTAGTCTAGATTTCTGGACCTTGGTCCTCCAGAATCTGGCCCCATTTTATTTATCTAAATTTACTTCTGGCTCCTGTCCCCATATTCTGTATTTATCCAACGCCTTTGTTCCTGCTGGTTCCTCAGCCTTGCAGGTTCCTCCCCTGCCCCTTCTTCTTCACCCAGGCAGCTATTCCCACCGTCAAGGCAGCCCTCGCTTTCCGTCTCTTCCCAAATGGGTCTGATCCACCTTGGTCCATTCTACTCTGATACCAACACTTCTCTCTCTCATTGTACCCAAATGCATTGAAAAAGGGTTTGGACAAAATAATATTTTCAAGTAAAACAATTCCATCCTATTATGAGGCAAAATAAAGACTAAAGGAAGAGACATATCAGAGGTTTGGAAAGAAGGAAGGCCCCTTCCCTAGGGGAGTAGAAAAGATGTGCCAACAAACACCTCAAGCTTTAGGAACAAAGGGGTTTTAGACAATGGTTTCCCTAAAACTCCAGATGTTTGATAAAAACTCTAGTTTTCCACTTAACAGTGCTTTTAGGAAGATTGTGGTTTCCATGATGTCTTCCTCAAATGAACAAAAAAGAAGACAACAGGGTAGGAAAAGTTAGGAACCAGCACCTATCAATGAAAGGAAAGATGCAGTCTGTACCAGCCAGCCAAAAGAGTCACTATGAGGTAAATTATGGGCATTGGCAATGTTTTGACCCTGGCAAAGGAGACTCAGCAACCTTTTTAGAATATAAGCAAGGTATTTAAGGATCTTGGTGATGGGTGTTTGTTCAGCTTTCTAGGGTTAGAGGAACAATCTTGAATAGCTCCCCCATCCATATTGCAAGGCATGGAGACAGAAAAGGACATCCTCAGAGCTTACAGTATAGTGGGGGGTGGGGTGGGGTCTAGGTGGGCATCTCCTCTCTGAGCACATCTGGTGATGTCTGCAGTGGTCCAGGGATTTGCAAGGTTCTCTACAAACCCAAAGGAGGATACAGGTGATGACCCAGGAGCAAACCAGGAGGGATGGAAGAGAAAGATGCTCTGAGGCTTTGCTCCTCAAAGTGCAGTCCATAGACTTGTTAGAAATGCACATTCTTGGGTCCCACCCCAGATCTACTGAATCAAAAACTCTGGGGCTCCAGCTAAGGTTTGAGAACCACTGTCTAGGTCCCAGCCATTCAAAGTGCCACCTATAGACGAGGAGCGTGGATGCATGGGAGCTTGTTAGAAATGCAGAGTCTCAGGTCTCACCCCAGACCTACTGAATCACAATCTGCATTTTAACAAGATCCCTCGGTTGTTTGGAGAAGCATGGCTCCAGGCAGAGGGAGTGCCCTTGCAGTGCTGTGGAGGTGTGAGGTGTGTTGTCTTAGGGGACCTCCAAACACTTCCTGGCTGGGGCTATGGAACCATGGGAATGTAGTGGATCGTGGAAGGAAGGAACTGTTACAACAAGCCTAGAATGCTGCACTACATGTTATCCTGAGGATGGTGGGCATCCTTGAAGGTGTCAAGCAGAGGAATCACATTTGTATTTCAGAAAGTTAGGTCTGTGGGTAAGAGGATGGCCTGTAGCAGTGAGACGGGGCAGACAGACCCCTTAGCAGACAGAAACTCTGAGGCCCAATTGCAGGGTTTCTAACCTCAGCACTATTGACATTTGGGGCTGGATAAGTCTTTGTTAGGCATTCCTGGGTAGTGTAAACGGTGAAGCACTCGACTACTATACGAAAGACTGGTGTTTTGAACTCACCCAGCGGTGCCTTGGAAGAAAGCCCTGATGATCTGCTTCCTAAAGGTCATGGCCTTGAAAACCCTATGGAGCGCTGTTCTACTAAGCACGCATAGCGTAGCCATGAGTCATTTGTTGTGGGGGCTCCCCTGTGTAATGTGGGATGCTGAGCGGCATCCCTGGCCTCAACCCACTAGATGTCTGCAGCACAGAAATGTCTCCAGGCATTGCCAAATGTCCCCTGGGGGACAAAATTAGCACTAGTTAGAATCCCTGGAGTAAATTGGGGAAGAATGGTAAAAAAGAAGGTGTGATTAGAAGTTGATTCCAGAGACTCAGTAACTGATTGAGACCCAGGACTCTAGACACCTTGTAGAACAAACACCAGCATGAAATTATACCACAACATTGGTAGTAGTTTGGAAGTATAGACACTTTCTGAGACCTGGAGTCAGAAGTCAGGTTCCATTTGAACTTTAAGCAACTTTTTAGAAATGTTTACTTTAGTCTGAAGGCCCTGGTATAATTAACCTAAAGGCAAAGTCAGTTTTAACACTGATGATAACTAATACATTAAAAAAAAAATCATGCGGATAACCTTATAATTACTACACAAGAGGTACAATAGAATAAAATTTTATGATTGTACAGCTGTTAACTGTCAAAATTCAGCCAGAAGGCTGCAGCTGCCTTTGACAATCATTGTGCAGTAATTGGGGCAAGGAGATGGGCAATGGACGATGCAGCTTACCCAGGCACTCCCTCCCCACTCACAAACTCCTCCTGTTTCAGATGAAGTTTTGATGATCTGGTCTTTTCACCAGGCAATACAGAGAAAAACCATCTTCTTCTAACAATTTGCTTGCAAAAGAGGACAGAGATGAACACAGCAGCATTGCAGAAGCCTTTCCCTGTCTGTTTGCTAGCCCCATTCTTTCCGTTTGAACTTTGCTAAACAGAGCCAAAATGTGCCCTGTTATTAACTCAGCAATAGATTGAAAGTATTGCATCTGGCTGCATCTAACCCATCTCAAATGAAAGTCTCAAATTTGACTGTCTCTGGGGACAGCAGTCAGGCAGCATCTTCAGTTTGCAATCTATTTACCATCTCTGAGTGTCTTCACACACCAGCATGTTAAATGAATATAGAACAAAAAGCAGGACTCGAATAAAGAAAAAGAGGTGAGTGGGGTAAATGGAAAGTTAATGGGGAGGGTAACCACTCTTCTGTACACATCTAACCTGAAGTTGAATTTCTGCATGGTGAAGTACTCTTCAACCCTAACCATGTGTTAGTATTAAAAACAAACCAACAACCAACCAGGTGCTGTCATGTCGACTCTGAATCCTGCTGACCCCATGGGTTTCAGAGTAGAACTGTGCTCCATGGGGTTTTCAATGACTGATCTTTTGGGAAGTAGATCACCAGACCTTTCTTCCAAGGTGTCTTTGGGTGGACTTAAACTTCCAGCTTTCTGTTAGCCAAGTGTGTTAACCGTTTGCACCACCCAGGACGACGTATTAGTATTACCTGGATTTAATTGGCCTGGGGTGGCACCTGCACATGAGCAATTTTTAAAGATTCCCCAGATGATTTTATTGAGCAGGCAGATTTGAGATCAGGGCTGTCATGCACAGCTGCACAGGTTGTGTACTGCATGATTCCAATATCCACAGAGCCTATGATGTGAATGGCGCTCCCTGAAGCTTAGCACTGAGCTATTAACAATGGAAAGAGTATGAAACATGGGAAACAGCTAGATCTGGATCTAAATGACAGGCTTCTAACTGACTAGCTGTGGAAATGGGAAAATGACGTAACCTCAGTCCTGTCTTCTGTAAGATGGAGTTGATAACAAAATACTGCATGTACTTTGTAGAGAGTTTTTGTGAGAATTAAATAAAATGATCCCATAACTCAGGTACTCTAAACCCTTAGATGCTCCGCGCTGTGCCAGACCCATTGAAAGTCTTTGTGAAAACACTCTCATGGCCTCATTGAAACCTAGCTCTTCTTTTGAACATTTGATTCCCTTTGATGATGCATAACTTTCCCTAGTCTGGATTCTCCAAGTCTGACAGCTTGTGTTGAAATAATATGCAACCTAGTATGTGCTTCTTGGAGTCCGGGTGGTATAAACAGTTAACTTGTTGGTTTGAGTCCACCCAGAGGCACCTCGGAAGAAAGGCCTGGTGATCTACTTCTGAAAAAAAAAATCGGCCATTGAAAACCCTATGGAGCATAGTTCTACTCTGACACATATGTGGTCGCCATGAGTCAAATTCAACTTGATGGCAACTGGAAAAAAAATGTGTATCTTTTTGAGTTCTGCCTGGGTCTGCAATTCCCTCAGCCATCACAATGGAATTAATTGCAGTCAGTATTCTCTGAGCATTTTTCAGAGACACTTATTTGCATTTTCTGATTATTTTTTCCCTTGATAGCTTTAATCTGGAAAGTAAATAAATCAGGGGAGGTTTTTGAGGAGTTTTTTTTATTGTTGAATTGTTGGGTAAGATTCTTTTGAGGGGAGGGGCTTCTCTCAAGGAATTATTGGAATCCTGCCCTGTGAATTAAGCTTGTAATGCTGGTGACAGAAACGAAAAATTGTAAAATCCTAATTCGCTTTTGAGTTAACGCCAAGGCAGTTCATGCTAGTGAAGTAAACAATGTCCCGAGAACAGGTGTTTAGACACACGCTGAGAAGAATAAAAGAAGAATTGTGTTATTTTTCATTTCTGCTCAGAGCTCTGAAGGTGGTGGACAAGGGTTTCATGTGGCGTTTTCATTTCTTGTTCAATGACTTCAGGAGATTGGCTGAACTGGCTCCTGTTGGCCTTTACTTGTTTACTGAATTAAATAACAATTGGTGATGCAGACATTGTGATCGATTGATTGATGTTCAGAAATGTGCAGCACATTGCCATTCTACTTGTATCTTCTTATAGATCAAAATCCCTGTGTCCCCCATGAGTAGGGTTCCTAGATAAACTATTGCACTGGACATATGTGTACTAAAAAATTATTCATTGTTTATTTGAACTTCAAATTTAACTGGGCATCTTACATTTGTATGGACATTTTATTGGACAACCCTAGCAATGAAGGAATTTTCTCCCCTCTGTTTCTTTGTTTCCAAATCAATACTACTGTACATGCATTGCATCAAGATGAGTGAGGAGCTAGGCCAGCCGGGAGAACCCAAGGACAAGGTTTATGCCCTCTCAGCTCCGACAAATGCTTCCTTCCTGGCAGGATCTTTAGCATCCATCAAGGATGATGTTGTTCTTTAAAGGTCTACGTTTCTGATTCCTTTTCGGTTGGGGCTGATTTGCAGTAGGATCTAAGTAAATACTTGACTCTGTGATCATTTATTTGGAGAAGCCCAGATGGTGCAGCGGTTAAGCGCTCAGCTGCTGGCCTAAAGGTTGGCTGTTGGAACCCACCACTGCTCCGCAGGAGAAAGATACAGCAGTCTGCTTCCATAAAGATTTACAGCTTTGGAAACCCTATGGGACAAGTTCTATTCAGAGTTGGCTCGGCAGCAGTGGGTTTGGTTTGATTTTAAACATCGTATCTGTTGAATAAAATTATCATTACAGACAAGACAAAGGAGAGGAGAGGAATAATAATGGTGGCTTTTTTTTCGTTTTTATTGTGGTGAAAATATATATAACAAAGCATACGCCAACTCAACAATTTCTACATATACAGTTCAGTAACTTTGATTACTTTCTTCAAGTGCAACCCATCTTGCTATCCTCTTCCAAATCATTCCAATCAATGGTGATGTTTTAACTGACATTTACTGAGCACTTAGTGAGTCCCAGGTATGATACCAGGTGCTTTGCACACATTATCTCTATAGATCCTCACATCAGTGCAGTGAGCAAGGCACTGTCATCGTTCCCTTTTTATAGAACAGAAAGCCGAGGCTCGGGGAGGTTGAGCACCTTGCTTCAGGTCACATTTCTAGGAAGTGGAGGAGCAGAAGAATGTGGCCTCCTCTAAAATGGTTTCCTGGAGAGCAGCGGTTCTCAACCCAGGATGATTTTGTCCCATTGGGACATTTGACAGCATCAGGAGACATTTGTGGTTGTTTGGGGATGGGGTGCGTGGAGCTACTGGCATGTAATGGGTAGAAACAAGGGATGCTGCTAAACATCCTACAAATTCACAGAATAGCCCCCACATCAGATAATTATCCAGCCCGAAGTGTCAATAGTGCTGAGGTTGAGAGACCCTGCTACAGAGAGAAGGCAGGACAAAAAAGGGGGAGGGATCTCACGTTACTACTTCAATCCAAATGCAACAAGGCACGTTGTGGTCCTCTATCAGGCGCGGCCCTTGGCCTTTGGAGTGTGAGAATGGGCCCAGTGAGAGGTGGGCAGCCCGAGGAAAAGGCTGGCATTCCACCCGCCGATTGCTTACCAGAGTCTGGGATTTCCCGACAATGTGTCTTGCCTTCTTTAGTGTCAATTCCCATGCCACCTACAAAAGCAGAGTTAGACAATATTACAACTTCGTCCCATCTTTTCTTTCTATGCCTATTCTAATGTTAGGATTTTAAAAGTCCTTAAGTTTGCAATCAAACTCGACGACAACAGGTTAAGTTTGCAATAAAGAATTATTTCACAAATTTGTAATAAAATAATTCATAAGAAGGCAATTTCATGCTAATAACTACCTTCATTAAGGGCTTTACTCTGCCAGACACTATGCTAAGTGCTTTATAAACTTTTTTCTATTTAATCTCCACAACAGTCTTAAGGGTAGGACCATTTGACAGAGGAGAAAATTAAGATGCAGAAAAGTGAAAACACTGGCCCCAAATTACATAGCTAGTGTCCGGCAGAGACACAATGTGAACTTCTACCTTCCTAACTGCTATGCTACACAGATCTCCCTAAGCAGCTTGTACTGTATCCTAAGAGTTGTCACCAGCAGGAAACTGTTACCAGCCACCTTCAGCGTTTCATGCTGTAGCAGCAGCAGGTCATAGATGGACCTGAAGAACAGGTGACAACTTCTGTCCATGAAAACACTCCGTCTCTCACTCACCTTCTCTTCTCTTGGTTAACTGTCCACTGTTCTCGTTAAACCATTTCTAGAGCATCTAAGTGCATCTGCCAAGTTTGCAGCACAAGTATAAAGAGTTAGCTAATGATTATCAATAATTATAGGTATGAAATGGGGGCAGTGGTGGTTCAGTGGTAGAATTCTTGCTTTTCATGCAGGATACTTGGGTTCAATTCCTGGCCAACACATCTCATGCACAACCACCACCTCTCTGTCCGTGGAGGCTTGGGTGTTACTATGATGCTGAACAGGTTTCAGCAGAGCTCCCAGACTAAGAGACTAAGAAGAAAGGCCTGGCCATCTACTTTCAAAAATCAGCCAGTGAAAACGACATGGATCACCATGGTCTGATTCACAACCGATCATGGGGATGGCACAGGACCAGGCAGCATTTCTTTTCATTGTGCATGGGCTCGTCATGATGGCAGCTAATAACATCGACAACATAGTTAGGAAACTCCGAAGACTACTGTGTTACTATGTTTGAAGGAGGGATCAGAAGATGATAATACTAAAGACGCCCAAAACTTTTTTCCTCCACTCAGTGCACATGTACAGTAAATTCTCATTGTTTGATGTTGTTATGTTCATTTTGTATTTCTTACAAATAATTAAGTACATGCAGTATTTCTGAAAATAAAATACTGGCCAAGAACGTTTAACGTTCTCCTGACCATGGAAAATGTGATGCTAAATTTCTTTGGCTTTCAGCCTCACAACAATGCTGTCCACTACACTTTTTTTTCTTGATCATCATCTCATGAAGCCACAAATTTAGCCACTTTTCCTGAGCTTCATCACACACTACAGTTATTACTTTAGCACTTTCCAGAGTGGCCTAACGTACAAATTAATGAATTTCATTTTCCTTTTTCTGGATGTACCATATTATTGGTTCATGAACGTTGAACTCACAGCCAACAGCACAGTAACTTACACCTGAATGAAGCTATCTAACATACATATTTTCTCTGTAAAGCATATCACAGCCATCTTGTACTTAGGAACAGTAGACAATACCAGCACTGTATCTGGGGACCAGTGAAATCATCAACAAAAAGTACAAAAATGTGAAAAATGTGGTGCTAGTAGACTTGCAGAAAGGGCACTTTTTTACAGTATGAGAGTTGTAATAAAAAGGCAGAGTGTCACCTTGCTCAGCCTCCGCTGGAAATGTGCACATTGGGTGACTCAAAATTTTCTCCATTTTGTGCATGTCTGCAGATGACCATAAAAGTGCCATGAGTATTGATTTTGGAGTCACCAATACATTTTAGCAACTAGATGAATTCGCAAATATGGAATATGTGAATCATGAGAATCAACTGTAACTGCTACCATTCTCACCTGTAAAGAGCTTAACATTTAGTGGGAAAATAAAAAATGTACATATGTGAGTTTATTAAAATAAGAAACGTAAAGAATATTCCCATTAACCCATTGCCATCAAGTAAATTCTGACTCATAGTGACCCTATAGGGCAGAGTAGAACTGCCCCATAGGGTTTCCAAGGAGTGGCTGGTGGATTCAAACTGCCGACCTTTTGGTGAGCAGCCAAGTTCTTAAACCACTGCACCACCAAGGGTCTGTAAAAAATACAGAGAAAAGGAAAGCCCTATTGGGAAAAACAGGAGAGAGAAAATGGAGGAGGCTTTGGGAGGAAGAAACTCCTACGCTAAGCTTTCAAAGAACTAAAATTTCAACAGTTAGAAGTAGTTGGAAGGGAAAGAATATTTTAGGGAGAGGAGACATCACAAGTAAGGGTTTGGAGCTGCAACAGTTGGGCAACAATGAAGTGAATAATTCAGGCTTTCTGGCTACATGATGGGAAGCAGAGGAGAGAAGCCGGGGAAAGCAGGTCGGTTGAAGAGTGGAAGGTCTTGAATGTCATTATGATAAAGGTTTGGTCTTTATTCCAAAGGCAGTTGTTGGCTATGGAGTGTATCACATTTGGTGACAAATGAAAGTTAAGAAAGTTAAAATTGAGAAAAGATCAAACACCACTTTTTCCCATCGTTGCTAATTAAAAATGCACTCATAACAATATAAGAAAGAGAATCTAGATAAAGTCCTACTTTTTTCTTCCCCCAGAAGAAAATTGATGTAGGGACTCAAAAACATTTGAAAAGGTTAATTTGTCTTAATGACAAACGCAGGGGGAAAATCTCAAGCAATGCAAAAATGAAAACAATCCTCTCCTTGGTAATCTTTTCATTGTTGGCAATTTTATGTTAAGTCTTTGTTTCTAAAGTATGAGGGTGACTCTTCCATCTTCTTAAAAATTAAAACTTGAGAATGGAGAATGCTATTCTAATGAGTGGTTGGGAAGTTCGGGAATGGATTGTGAGCTGGATATAAAACTCTCTGGTTGGAAGCCAAAATGGCGCCTATGACTCAGCTAATGCAATCACATGAAGGCATAAGCAGATTCTCCACCAACAATGAGGGGCTTGGTTCTGGAGGCATTCATTTGATCCTGCAATTTGTTATGGTCAAATCTTTTCAAATTCTTATTACTTTCTTCCTTGGGTTATCATGTTTCCTTATTCCAGCTTCAAATCCTATCCAGAGTCTGATATATAATATCTTCACAAGAAACCCACTGTACAGGCTCATAGAGATATAAGCCCTCAGCCTGGGTCTTATTATGGTCCAAAGAACCATACGTATATTGGATTTTTTTACTTAAGAACTTGGAAAATGGCCAAGGAAAGTATGGCATGTTGCCTTAGCAATGTACAAAAGGGGAGAGGGCAACCTTTTCCTCGATAATCAGGATACACAGTAGCATATACCCCTGGAGGGTCGCTGAAACACTTTGGTCTAGAATGGTTTAAGTGTTCATTCAAAGTAGAGCAAGCCTAAAGTCTTCAGATAAGAGGAGATGCTTGGTGACTATTGACTGCTATCATTCTCCAGGGCAGTTGCAGTTCTCAACCCTGGTTTCTGAGCAGTTTGAATGATGGAAGACCAAGGGCCAAGCGCTCATTGCTAGCAGTTTCTTGATCAAAGGGGTGCACCGGTAGGGATTGTGCTCTGTCAAGCGTTAGCCAAATGGGAGCTCAAGCAAAAGGAAGATAGTTGTCTAATAAATTTAGCGGTTTGATTCTGGATGAAACTTCCATCTTCCATGGAGGCCCTTTAAATGTTGTATTTATCACTAAATCATGGTCTCCATTGTTATTTCCCATTTAAAGTGAACTTGGACTCTAGAGTGTTTACAGATTTAAATTCTGGCTTTTTCAGGATTGTAGACTTCAACAAGTCACTTAAGCACCCTGAGCTTCAGTTTCCTTGTCCATAAAATAGGGATGATAATAGTATGTGTGAGAATTGAACAAGATAGTACTTGTAAAGTACTTAGAATAGTGCCTAGCACATAGTAGGCAAGAAATTAGTGTTAACTATAACTGCTATTGTAATTTCAGGTTATGTTACTGTCATGGTTTGAATTATGTCCCCCCAAAAATGTGTGTATCAATTTGCCTGGGCCATGATTCCCAGAACTGTGTGGTTGGCCTCCATTTTGTGATTGTAATTTTATGTTAAAGAAGACTTGGGTGGGATTGTAACACCACCCTTACCCAGGTCACATCCCTGATCCAATGTAAAGGGAGTTTCCCTAGGGTGTGGCCTGCACCACCTTTTATCTTACAAGAGATAAAAGGAAAGGGAAGCAAGCATAGAGTTGGGGACCTCATACCATCAAGAAAGCAATGCTGGGGGCAGAGTGCGTCCTTTGGACTGGGGTCCCTGCGCAGAGAAGCTCCTACTCTAGGGGAACACCAACACAAGAAGGCTGACAGAGACAAAAAGCCTTCCCCTGGAGCTGACGCCCTGAATTTGGACTTTTAGCCTACTTTGACTATGAGGAAATAAACTTCTCTTCATTAAAACCATCGACTTGTGGTATTTCTGTTATAGCAGCACTAGATAACTAAGACAGTGTGCAATACACAGTTAGAAAGATTACAATAATTACAACATCAGCTTATATAAATGTATGCTATTTTTCAGTGATTCTGAAAATCATTCTGAGAGGAAAGTATTATTTTTTTTACCATTTTACAGATGAGAAAACTGAGGCTCAGAGAAGTTGCATAATTTAACCACGTGCTCTGCTTGCAGAGCAAAGACTGGTCCTCAACTCTCTGGACTACAACATGTTTCCCATCATTGTCACATTGTTTTCTAAGAATAAAGGATGTCTGAAATTTTAACACAAGCAAGGAAAAGATGACCTATGAGGTTTCACCAAGGCTTAGGGGAATGGCACTTGAAATTCACATGGAGCGTGGATGATTTAATGCAAAAGATTAGACAGTCAGGGAAGAATAGTGTTTCTGTATGTCAAGAAGCCATGCACTTGTGTGGAAAATCATGTAACCAAGGATATAAACATGATAGTAGGC